CTGCTGCTGCTGCCACTACTACTACCACTACTACTACTACTACTACTACTACTACCAGTACTACTACGACTACTACCCCGACTACTGCGACTACTACCTCGACTACTACGACCACGACAACTACTACTACCACCACGACTACCACGACTACTACGACTACTATGACTGCTACGACTACTGACAGTGCTGCTGGTAACTACTGCTAATTACCACGACAACAACTACTACATCTTGTGGTTTTGGCTGACATTTCGCCTGCACCTCAAACCTTAGGGGGAACGCTTGGCCCGTTCCCTAACACTCGTATACCGACAGGGAACTGGGAACCCCGAAAAGCCACACCCCGAAAACAAAGTCAAACATTCACTAAAACAGGAAGCAAGACGACCACAAATGACGTGTTCTTGGAGTAGCCGAGGGTACCTTGACCAAGGTACGTGTACCAATTCTTAAGAACCATGCCCCTGCTTCAAAAAGTGCATTGGTTATTACTCTCGGCATCTTCAAGTGGGATGAAAAACTCGTCCAGTCTGAGGACTGAGGACCCATCTCGGAATGACCTGCTGTTAGGCATTTCCATTTCAAAACAGTTGATAGGAGAGCCCAGGAGAAAGAGAGAAGGTACCGCCCCCAAAAAGGGGAACCCAGGAGCTGATGCGTCTGCGCTTGAAGATCTTGACGTCCTTCTTCAAGCTTATCGTTCATGTGATGCTGGTTCTAGTCTTATTCTTCACCTTTGACTTGTTCCGTGCACCTTGCCTGCAATCGGCGACATGGTGGGTCATCGGCGTACTTGGATATTTGTTGATGTTCGGGCTTATCAGCACAAAGCGGCCTCTCGCATCTTCGCTGCTTGTCCCTTTGCGGCTACTCCTCTGGGTACGACTTTTGCTTCTCGTGTGGGTGAGTGGCTCCGACCAGAGTCAGAGTGGCGTATTGGGGCGGCACGGCTTATGCCAGGGAAGTCACATTCTACAGACACTCTTCTTTCCCCTCGGCGGAATGACCATATTGCAGACCGTATCCTACTTTGCTGTCGACACCTGGGTCAAGGGGCAGGTCTTCGGCCCAAATCCGTGGCTGATAATGTCTGCATGTGCCCAGTCTTTCGCATACCTGGCCATACCACTCTTTTTCGAGTTCGCTGTTCGGGAATGGATTGCGGCATCGTTTCAGTCGCAAGACTCGGACTCCTTGATTGCGGGCTTTCGGCGGATGCTGAAGGGGATCTGTGATGGAGAGCTGCTACTGGACGGCAACTTCCAGATCTGCGGCACAGCGCCGTGCCTGCAACGACTCCTGTCAAGCAGCGAGGACTTTGCCGGACGCAGCTTTCCGGACCTTTTGGTCGATGATGACGCGAGGAAACTGCTCAATGACTTCCTGGCACCGGCCGCAGCCACGAGCGATGCGGACGAAGGCGCAGAGGGCGGCAAGCGCTTGCCATCCGGCGAAGGCGCAGCCCCGCGCTGCCTGCGCGTGCCTCTGCGGGCCCCTTCGGGCCAAGCGATTTCGGTGGA